AAAAGGCAAGTTTCTATTAAAAGTAAATTATTTTATAACAATGGGAGCTATTTGACAATGGGATGCATTTTCTTATAAGGTAATGTGGTCCTCATCACTGCAAGTATCAAAGAGAGGTGGTCAGAAGGGATTATTCCTACATTGAATAGGACTTGCTAGTTGTTCTTTTTTTGTTTGTTTGTTTTGTTAACCCTCACCTGAGGATATTTTTCCATTGATTTATAGATAGAGTGGAAGGGGTGGTGGTAAGGGATAGATAGAGATAGAGATAGAGAGAAAAACATCCATGTGAGGGACACATTGACCGGTTGCATGACCCTGACTGGGCCAGGGATGGAACCTGCAACCCAGGTACATGCCCTTGACAGGGAGTTTAACCCGTCACCTTTTGGTTCATGGGCTGATGCTCTGACTGCTGAGCCAAACCAGCCAGGGCCTGCTAGTTGTTTTTTAATGACCAGTTAATTCATTTATTAAAATTTTTTTAGAATACTACTTAAAAAATTTAAATAATGGCCCTGGCCGGTTTGGCTCAGCGGTTAGAGCGTCGGCCTGCGGTCTGGAGAGACCCGGGTTCGGTTCCCGCTAAGGGCACGTACCTCGGTTGCAGTTTGTCCCCGGCCCTGGTTGGTCGTGCGGGTGGCAGCCACTCTATGTGTTCCTTTTGCATCGATGTTTCTCTCTCTCTCTGTTCCTCTCTCTCCCTCCCACTCTACCTGAACAAAAAATGGAAAAATGTCCTCGGGTGAGGATAAAAAAAAAAAAAAAAAAAAAAAAATTTAAATAATGCATATGAATAACAAAAACTGTGTTTCTCCTCCTGTGTATGTATGTAGATCTGCCTACCTGCTTTCTTTCACACAAATGAAATTAGCTATGTATACTGTTTTGTAACTTTAAAAAATTTTTTTATTTATTGATTTTATTTTTTAAATATTTTTTTTCTTTATTGATTTTTTTTTAAAGTGAGAGGAAAGGAGAGAGATAGAAGCATCGATGTGAGAGAACATCGATTGGTTGCCTCCTGCATGCCCCTCAGTTGGAATTTGGCCCATAACCTGGGCATGTGCCCTGACCAGGAATTGAACTTGTGACCTCTTGGTGCATGGGTCAATGCTCAGCCACTGAGCCACACCGGCTGGGCTTATTTATTGACTTTAGAGAGAAGGAGGAAAGGGGAAGAAGGGAGGGAGTGGGGAGAGAGAGATAACTATTTGTTGTTCCACTTGTTCTTTTTTTCAGTCTTCATCTGAGGATATTTTTCCATTTATCTTCAGATAGAGTGGGAGGGGGAGGGTGTGAGAGAGACACATTGATTGGTTACCTCCTGCACCACTCTCAACTCTGGTTCTCGCGCCAACGCTCTAACCGCTGGGCCAAATGAGCCAGGGCTGTTGTTCCACTTATTTATGAATTCATCAGTTGATTCTCATGTGTGCCCTTTTCAGGGTTCGAACTCACAACCTTGGTGTGTTGGAACGATGCTCTAACCAACTGAACTACCAAGCCAGGGCCTGTGACTTGCTTTTCTTGATAAACAGTTAACCCTGGGTATCTTTCCATGTTAGCACATATATAGATGCACTTACTTTTTTCTTTTAAGTTCATAGTACTCTCCATAATATGATGGAGATACAGTACTTTATTTGGCCAGTACTTTAGACTGCACTCTTGCTGAAGATTTTAGAAGCAAATCTTAAATGTCATTTCATTTCTACTTTTGAAAATGTTAACATTTTCTCATATAATTATAATTCCATTATAACACCTAACAAAAAGGACACTATTTTCTTGGCATGATATGATACTCTCTACAAATTTGTCTCAGAAATGTCTTAATTGGTTTGTTTGACTAGGGTCCAAATGAGGAGTATACATTTGATTGTATACATCTTCTAGGTCTCTCTTGTAATTTCCTACCCCCTTTTTATGATGTTGACTTGGTTGGAGAAATTAGGTCAGTTGTCCTGTAGACTGTCTCACATTCTGGATTTCTTAATTTGTCATGTATTTTTAACTTGTTCTTTTAATGCCATTTAATTTATTTTATCTCTTGCATTTCTGTAAATGGAAGAAGGTAGCTCTAGAGCTGTGTTGTTCAATGTTAGTAGCTATATTATTAGTAACCACTAGTGGCTATTTAAATTTAAAATAATTAGATTTACAAAATGAGCCCTGGCCTGTTTGGCTCAGTGGTTAGAGCGGCGGCCTCTGGTCCCTAGAGACCCGGGTTTGGTTCCTGCTAAGGGCGTGTGCCTCGGTTGCAGTTTGTCCCCAGCTCTGGTTGGTCGTGCGGGTGGGAGCCACTCGATGTGTCCCTTTCATGTCGATGTTTCTCTCTCTCTCTCTCTTCCTCTCTCTCCCTCCCACTCTATCTGAACAGAAAATGGAAAAAAATGTCCTCCAGTGAGGATTAAAAAAAAGAAAGAAAGAAAGAAACATTTAGTTACTCAGTTGCCCAGCCACATTTCAAGTCATCAGTAGCCACATACAGAACATTTCCATTATCACAAAATTCTGCTAGACAATGCTGATCCTAGAGGCTTGATTAGATTTAGGTTTTGTTATTTTTATGAGAATACTTAATAGGTAGTGTTTTGGTGGTTTGTATTGTGTCACATCAGAAGAGACACATGTCTGGTTGTCGCACTTTGAATATTAAAATTGAAAAGGTAATGATCAGCCTGACATCTCATTGTAAGTTTCTGATCATGTGTACTATGAATAAAGATATTTTTCTTCTTCCTTTGACATCTCTAATCTCTTTTTCTTGACCTATTTGTGTTAGCTAAAACTTTCAGTAAATTTGTTGAATAGAAATGTTAAAGAGTTAAAACTCTTGCCCTGGCCAGGTGGCTCAGTTGGAGCATCGTCCTGTAACCAAAAGGTTGCAGGTTCGATACACTGTCAGGGTGTGTATGGGAGATGCAACCAATTGATATTTTTCTTTCTCCCTTCCTCTCTCTAAAATCAATAAACATGCGATGGGTGAGGATAAAAAAGTTAATATTCTTGCTTTGTTCCCAGTCTTAGGGAGAAATTATTTAGCCTTCCATCATCAAGTATGATGTTGTAGTTTTTTGATGTTCTTGATTAGATGAAGTTCTATTCCTTGCTTACTGGAATCTTTTTTGTGAATAGGCGTTGAATTTTGTAATGTTTTTCTATATTTATTGAGATAATTATATGGTTTTCTCTTTTATTCTGCTAATGTGATGAATAATATTTATTTTTATCTCTTGAATGTTATACCTTACATTCTAGGACATCCCATTTGGTCATATTTGGTCATATTTATATATTACTGGAATCCTAGTATTTTATTAATGATTAATATCTGTGTTCTTGAGGGATGTTCTGTGATTTCCTGTTTTTATAATGTCTTTGATTTTGGTGTCAGGGTGATGGTGGATTGATTTCTCCTGTGATCTTTTCTTTTTTTTAAATCCTCAACCGAGGATAATTTTCTGTTTCTCTTCAGATAGAGTGGGAGGGAGGGCAAGAGAGAGAGAGAGAGAGAGAGAGAGAGAGAGAGAGAAACATCCATGTGAGAGGAACATGTTGACTGGTTGCCTCCCGCACGACCCCGTCAAGGGCCGAGGATGTACTGCAGCCAAGGTATGTGCCTTTGACCGGAATTGAACCTGTGACTCCTTGGTCCACGGGCCAATACCCTAACTGCTGAGACAAATTGGCCAGGGCTCTCCTGTGATCTTTTGACATAACCACACTTTTTTAAAATAACTTTTCAGCCCTCTTGCCCCTTGCACAATAAGATGTCCTGTGTTCTGTACAAAAGGGTGTCTCAGTATGTTCCATTAATAGATATGGCTCTTCAAAAAAGTGCCTGCCACGGCTTTTGTTAAATCCTCACCTGAGGATTTTTTTTATTGATTTTTTTTTAGATAGTAGTGGGAGGGAGGGAGGAAGGGAGAGAGACAGAGAGAAAAAGAGAGAGAGAGAGAAAGAGAGAGAGAGAGAGACATCGAAGTGAGAGACATATTGATTGGTTGCCTCCCACATCACCCTGACCAGGGCTGGGGATCGAACCCGCATCCAAGGTATATGCCCTTGACTGGAATCGAACCTGCAGCTCTTTGGTCCTTGGGCCAACGCTCTATCTAACAGCTGAGCCAAAGCAGCAGTGCCTGCCATTGCTTTTTAATCACTCCTTCTGGCTATCTGTGAAATAACAAAACCGTTAATAAAATGAATTTTAAAAGAAAACTGAAAAGACCTAATGAATACTGTATTTTAAACTCTGTTTCTCCACATTTTTTCTAGTCTTTTCATTAAAAAAGTATTTTTATATATATCAATATCAGTTGAGTTTGAAAATCTAAAAGTGCACAGTATTTTTACTACACTGAAAGAAATATTTAACTGTGAACAAAATTATTAGACTTTTAGATGTATAGTTTTAAGTTCTTCAGTTTAGAATTGCTTCATATTATGAGGAAAAATTTCTTTTAGGAATTTTATTTTTCCAGTGAGCTGATTCTTTCTGTAGTGGTAAGCTTTGGGAGAAGGAAGGTAGGTAGAGTGGAGCCCATCAATCAGTCAATTGCAGCACTATGCAGACTGTTGTAATTTCAGTTCAGTAGAATAGGTTTTCTAGCTAGTTGCTGTAGAATTGTAGATGATGACTGGGTTTAACTAAGCCATTGATTTATAAGTACTAACTGAAATATCAGGTACATTCATAAATGAATACATTTCAGGACTTTTTATACTTTATATCTTAAAATAAGTAGAATCCTATCTCTGTATTTGTTCAGATACTAAGATACTTAAATTATATAAAGCAAACCATCTTTGGCTATCTGATCACATATCTATTAAATGAGCATGAAAGAATTGGCTTTTATAACTCTGCATGCTCTTTGTTTTAGGTCACTGAACAAAGTATTTTTTCTATGTAAAAAACATATCTGAAGTGTCTAGTGTTGTTGATTTGTTATACTGTGATACTATAAATATTAACCTTTTTTTTTTTTCAGGCACAAAAATCTTAAACCAAGAAATCCTGGACAGCAAGGACAGGCATTATCTTTAAGTCAGCAACAACAAGTACTTCCTAAGCACAAGACCAATGAAAAGCAGGAAAAGAGTGAAAAACCACAGAAACGCCCCCTGACTCCTTTTCATCATCGTGTATCTATTAGTGATGATGTTGTCATGGACCCAGATTCAGCCAGCCAAAGACTTGTGATATCTGCTCCAGACAGTCAAGTGAGATTTTCAAACATCCGAACTAATGATGTAGCAAAGACTCCTCAGATACATGGCACTGAAATGGCAACTTCACCTCAACCACCCCCACTTAGTCCTCACCCATGTGATGTGGTTGATGAAGGAGTGACTAAAACACCTTCAACTCCTCAGAGTCAGCATTTCTATCAAATGCCAACACCGGATCCCTTGGTTCCTTCTAAACCAATGGAAGATAGGATAGACAGTTTATCCCAGTCTTTCCCAGCTCAATTCCAAGAAGCTGTAGAACCTACAATATATGTTGGTACAGCAGTAAACTTGGAAGAAGATGAAGCTAATGTAGCCTGGAAGTATTACAAGGTCCCAAAGAAAAAAGATGTAGAGTTTTTACCACCTCAACTTCCAAGTGATAAATTCAAGGATGATCCAGTTGGACCTTTTGGACAGGAAAGTGTAACATCAGTTACAGAGTATGTATTTTTTTAATAGTCACTATTACAATCTAAGGGTGGAAAAATGATGTAAGTTCTTAATACTAGGACTCCAGAATGGTTTCAGGGTAGGATTTTCATTAATAAATCCTTTGAGTATTATTTTTACTGTGTTCTTTCCTCAGGGAACAACTTTATTATGAAATACTTTAGTCAGTAAAAAGTGGAGAAAAATATTAACATTTATCCATCAACCAACTTAAAGATTTAAGTTGGTCGATCAACCAACCTAAGGATTTTATGTATAATTAGAACTCCTATGTACTGTTTTTCTTCCTCCATTCTTCCTTCCACTGTCCTTAATTTGGTAGTTATCATTTCTGTACATGTTTTTATATTTGTAGCTATACTTAATTCATTTTAATTGCTCTGCAGTATTATTTCGTTTTGAATATACCATCTACTCTCTTGAAGATGGTCATATTAGTTATTTTCAATTTTTCACAATTGCAAAGGATGTGGTAGTGAACTTTTTGTATACATTTCCTTGTACACTTGTGTAAGAATTTCTCTAGGGAATACATTTTAAAGTGAAATTGCTGGGCCATGGAGTATTTCCATATTAGAGAGTTGTTGCCAAGTTGCTTCTTCAGTTATACCAGTTTACACCTTCATCAACCAGCAGAATATGACATTGGCTATTGCTGTACATTTTCTGCCATATTTGGTATTATGAGACTTTTAATTTGGCTAATCGTATTCAGTATGGCATCTTATTGTCATGATACGTGTTTTCTAGACTTCTAGTGAGGTTAAGCATTACTTAAAATGTATATTGGACATTTAGGTTTCCTCTTCTGTGAATTACCCATATTGCATCTCATTGTTTTTAGTCCATCCCCCCCACCCCCCGATTTATTTTTTGCATATTCTGGCTATTAATCTCATATTAACTGTATGTACTACAGCTGTCTTCCTTCATTCTATGGTTTGCCATCTTTGTCCACTTTGTATCTGGCATACCTTGGGCAGAACTAGGCTTTTTTTTAGGTCTCTCTTTACTTTTTATAGTTGTTCTGATTACACTGGTCTGTCCCATAAGTCTTTTGCAGTTTTATCTGTAGATTTTTCTAAAAGGTTAAAATCAACCCACAAAACATTGTCATTAATTGTTTATCAATACAAGGCCAAGTAGTGTGCAAAGATTACATTTCCTTCTGTATAAGTCCGTTGTCAATAAAAGATTTTAAGGTCTTCTATTGAGTTTAGAATTTGGAAATTGCACAAGAATATGTTAAGGTATGGTGATCTTTTGTTTAGTCCTTTATACTGGGCAGTTGAAGAGGGTTAGTTCGATTTGAAGTGTTTTTGTCTTGCTGGGGAGGTCTCTTTTTCATGGATAATATCTCAGTTCCCCCCCTACACACACTTTCTGTGGAACTTCTATAATTCAGATGTTGAACAACTTTTACTTTTTCTCTCATTTTCTATCTTTTTTTTCTCTATATTTTGAGGGTATTTCTCAACTTTCTTCTAGACCTTTCTTGACGTTTTAATATTTAGTTTTTCATATTTTTCTCCTGAACTTTTTTACCTTTTTGTTAATAGCATCTTCTTCTTGCTTAATATCCTGAGATTTTTTTTTTTCCCCATTAGAATTATTTGCCTTATGTTGGTCTTTTTCTTTACCATTGCTGCCATATTTCTTACGGTTATTGTTTCCTCACATTTTATTTTATTTTTAATTCTCACTTGAGGACATCTTTGTATTTATCTTCAGATTGAGCAGGAGGGAGAGAGGGAAGAAGAGAGAGAAACATTGATGTGAGAGAGATACATTGAGTGGTTGCCACCCACAAGACCTCAATCGGGACTGGGGACAAACTGCAACCGAGGTATGTGCCCTTAGCGGGAACTGAACCCAAGACTCTCCGATCTGTGGGCCGACACTCTAACTGCTGAGCCAAAATGACCAGGGCTGTTTTCTTCACATTTTAGAATGAGGGCATAGAGATGCTTATCGGAAATTTTGTGTATATGTACAGAGACTTGTTAATTGGCAGGCCTTCCTTATCCATTCAATACATAGTTTAGTGTATCAGTTCCAGGTACTTTGCTTTATGATAATGGAGTAGAGAATATTTTGGAGGGAAAGCTTTGTACCTACAATTTCAGAATGAAGAGGATGTTAGATCTTGGGTCTTCATCAGTGTATTCATTTTTCTTATAAGAGGAACCTTTCCTGTTCTTCCATTTTCAGCTTTTTTTGTTGTTAATCCTCACCCAAGGACATTTTCCATTCGTTTTTAGATAGAGGGGGAAGGAGGTAGGGAGGGAGGGGGGGGGGGAGAGAGAGAAGCATCGATATGAGAGAGACACACCAATTGGTTGCCTCCCACAGGACCCTGACCAGGGCCAGGGTTGGAACCTGCAACCCATGTACATGCCCTTGTCCAGGAAGTGAACCTGAGACCCTTTGATCCTCAGGCCTATGCTCAAACCGCTGAGCTAAACCGGCTAGGGCCTTTATCAGCTCTTATTTTTAATTTTTGTCTAGAAATATAAGTCCAGATTTTCTCTGGTTTTCTAAGCAGTTGGGCTGTCCTGTTGTTTATGTAGTTTTCCTATAGCCCCCTCTTGTACATTCTAGGCCATGAACTTTCTCTGCCGTGTTATTGATTTTGAGCTTCCCTGAGACTAAGTAAATGGCTGGTCCATGTATATATAGCCTCTTTCTCATTTATCCCTACTGTTAGAAATTTAGTTTTTATTTTTATTTATTTATTTTTTGTTAATCCTCACCCGAGGTTATTTTTTCATTGATTTTTAGATAGAGTGGAAGGGAGGGAGAGAGAGGGGAAAAAAGAGAGAAACACCAATGTGAGAGAGACACATATATTGGTTGCCTCTCACACAATCTTGACCTGGGCTGAGGAACAAACCCTCAACCCTTCAGTCCGTGGGCCGATGCTCTAACCACTGAGAAAAACTGCCCAGGACTAGAGATTTACTTTTTTTCATCCTCACCCGAGGACACTTTTGCATTTATCTTCAGATATCGTGAAGAGAGAGAGAAACATCGATGTGAGAGAGACACATAGAGTGGTTGCCACCCACATGACCCCAACTGGGGCAGGGGACAAACTGCAACCGAGGTGCGTGCCCTTAATGGGAACCGATGCCGGAACTCTCCAGTCCATGAGCCAATGCTCTAACCGCTGAGCCAAACCGGCCAGGGCAAGATTTACTTTTTAAAAAAATTCCTTGATGATTATATTAGTAGACAAATCTGTGTCCTTTGCCTAGCAAAACTTTGTAGTTTTTTTGTTCTTTTTCTTTTTTTTTGTTCTCTTTGTATGTGTGTGTTTTTTTTCATCTAGCACTTTGAATCTTAAAAGTTTTTTAGTATGATTTTTTTTTTAATTAAAATTAATCTGGATTTGAAATTGAGGGACCTCAGGATACCCTTAGGGTCATGGAAGACAGCTAGCTTATTTAGTTTCAGTAGTTAGTGAATAGGTCTCATGAAAGCAAATCATGTCTTGGAAACAAGTCTGAAAAGTTCTTAAATTATCTGTGCTGGATGAAGATAAAATTCTAAGTTAGCCTCAACTCTTGCCGGAAACTACTGTTGATCTACTTATTAGTGTACTTCTCTACATTTATTTTCTACACAGCAGTCAGAATGATCATTGTAAGTTAAATATTATGTTACTGATTTGCTTAAAACCCTTCGATAGTTTCCTTTTATTCTTAAAATTAAATCCAAACTGTTTTCCCTTATTTGTAAGATTCTACATAGCCTCCTACTTAACTAGTTTTTCCTTTTTATTTACTACTCTTCTATTTGCTTTCTGATTTAGCCACAACAGCTTTCTTGCCATGCCCTTAAAAAGCCAAGCTCATTTCTCATGGCCTTTAGAATTGCATTACAGATGGGGGAGCAGCTTACCCTTTCTTATTCAATCCTGCTCAAACATTACCTTCTCAGGCAGTATTTCCCTGACCATTCTATCTAAACTATAACATACTCTTCTCACTCTCCAGATCACTGCCTATCCTGTACACTGCTTTCATTTTCTCTCTCTATATATCATTATCTGAAATTATATTATGCATTTTCTAATGGTCTTTTCCCTATTAGAATGTAAGCTCTATGAGGGCAAGGACTCTGTCTGGTTTATTGCTGTGTTCCTCTAGCATAAACAAACACACACATCCTAGAATAATCCTAGGCACATAGTAGACATTCAGCAAATGTTTGGATGAATGAAATGACAGTATGTATGGCTATCAATTACTTTATGATTTTAAAACTTGTTTTTTTATTTTTTTTTTATTTTAGGTTATATTTTATTATATAGTATATGTTAAAATCTAGTGACATGAGTATTTTCAGTTTTACTATTAAGAGTGAAGGCACATTATATTTATAAGATCCAAGAATTCTAGCCATAACTTTTAAGTGTATTGGCTGCTTGTGTTCATGAGCATCTGTAAGTGAAATGAAGGTCTCTGAGAAGTTAATACAGCCTAACCTTAGAATCTATTCTAAAATTATTTGATATTTTTATCACTGAATAAGAGTGAGAAGCATAATATAGAAAAGTAGCATGCAGAGTAGAATGGTGTAAATGAAGAAAATAACATGCTTCTATTTGTTCCTAGTCACCATTTTTTCTGCCTCATAAAAAAAGAAAAGACTGAATAAAAGGGTTTTTTAAATTTTATGTCTCATGTGAGTATTGTTTTGGTTATACTACTAAAATGTGTTTTATGTCACAGTTCACTTTTAGATATAATCCTTGTTTTTGTATTGTAGTAGCCAATTAGAATATAGTAAATATCACAAGAAATCAACCATCAGAAGCTTAGCTGCCATATGCACTTAGAAGTATTTATGGAATACAATGTTCCATACTTAAAAGGTTAGAAGTTTTTTTTAAAAATTGAAACATTTATTTATGTTTTACTGATTTTTAGAGAGAGATGAGGGAAGGGAGGGGCAGAGAGAGAGAAACACTGAATTGTTGTTTCAC